TGCTGCTGCTGCTGCTGCTGCTGGTGGTTGTTAGCAGCAAGTAAAGCAGCAAAGAGGACGAAGGGCGGCAGACTGAGCGCAGCAGTTTGTGCTGCTTTCCATTCATCAGGCAGCAGCAGCCCCCTCGATACAAGCCACGGCTGCTGCTGCTGCTGCTGCTGTTGCTGCAGCAGCAGCAGCTGCTGCTGCTGCTGCTGCTGCACAGCCACGACCCATCGGCGTGCCTCCTCTAGGGAGGGTCTAACATGTACGAGGGCTCCCTCAGCATGCGGTGCTGCTGCTGCTGCTGCTGCTGCTGGCGTTGCTGCTGCTGCTGCTGCTTCTGCTGCTGCAGCGAGAGCCGCATGCCCCCCGCGTGTCAGCTGCAGCAGCTCCGTTCGGAACGCGTTGGCGCGGCGCTGCAGTTGCTGCAGCAGCAGCTCAGCAGCAGCAGCAGCAGATGGGGGCCCCAGTAACCCAGTAGCAGCAGCAACAATGTGGGCATCTGCTGCAGCAACAGGCAGCAGCTGCTGCAGCAGACGGCAGCAGCGGGAAGCAGATAAGGAGCTCTCTGTGCTATCAAGAGAAAGCTCCCCGAAAATATCTGCTGCTGCTGCTGCTGCTGCTGCTGCTGCTGCACCGAATACTGCTGCTTCTGCTGCAGCAACACCACTGGGCACCTCCAGCCACGGCAGCAAGCTGTGGCGACGTGCATGCAGCGCAGCGAATGCTGCATGTGCTGCTCCCATCAACACTTCTTTGCTGCTGCTGCTGCACTTGCTGCTGCTGCTGCTGCTGCTGCTGCTGCTGCTGCTTGCAGCAAAAGAAAGGAGCCAGCTGAGGGCCCCCTCTGCAGCAGCAGGAGGCGTGGGGATACCCAGAGCTGCCCATACACCCAACGCGGTGTCTGCGCTGTCAATGCCTTGCAGCTGCAGCGGCAGCGGAGGCACTCCTGCTGCTGCTGCTGCTGCTGCTGCTGCTGCTGCTGGATGGTGCTGCTGCTTGTGAAGGAACTGCTGCAGCACCGCCACAACGTCGCTGCAGCCGATGGAGCCCAGCAGCAGGCGGACGTACAGACACCGCAGCACGAGCATGCAGCCAGGGGGGATATCATGCTGCTGCTGCTGCTGCTGCTGCTGCTGCTGCTGTTGCTGCTGCTGCTGCTGTTGGTGCTGCTGCTGGTTTTGCTGCTGGCGCCGAAACAGCAGCAGCAACTCATTTGCTGCTCCTTCTGCTCTCTCTGCTGTTGCTGCAGCTCTTGCTGCAGCAACAGCATCTGAAGGGGTTGGGATCGGTGAACAGCTGCCGCTTGCTGCTGCTGCTGCTGCTGCTGCTGCTGCTGCTGCTGCTGAGGCTCGATGTTCTGTTGCTGCTGCGGGCAGCAACACCTTTCCCAAGGAGCCGCTGCATATACCCCCTGCTGCTGCTGCTGCTGCTGCTGCTGCTGCTGCTTCAACATGCTGCAGCAGAACGCTGCAGCAGACCAAAGCTGTAGAGTGAGCGCTCGAGGGTGTTGGGGGCGGTGAAACTGCTGCTGCTGCTGCTGCTGCTGCTGCTTCTGGTGTGGTTGCAGCAGTCTCTACATCAGCAACAGCAGCAGTTGCTGCTGCTGCTTCCGCTGCTTCTGCTGCTGCTGCTGCTTCGAGCAGCTGCTCCAGCAGCAGCAACTTCTCCGCCTCAGCAGCACCCAAGACAACGCGGGGGAGGCTGAGCAGCGACAGCAGCAAACAAGCTAGCCGGATATGATGGGGGCTTAAACCTGCTGCTGCTGCTGCTGCTGCTGCTGCTGTTGCTGCTGTTGTATTCGATGCTGTTGCTGCTTTCGCTGCTAATGGGTTGGCCGCTGCTGCTGATGCCGCCTCCTGCTGCTGCTGCTGCTGCTGTAGTTGCTGCTGCTGCTGCTGCTCCTGCAGCAATCGGGTCAACATGTGCTGCAGCGCGTGCACAGAAACAACGAACTCAGGCTGTTGAGCTCGCGCTGCAGCAGCAGCAGCAGCAGCTGCTGCTGCTGCTGCTGGATGAGCAGCAGCAACTCCAGCAGCAGCTGCAGCAGACAGTTCTCTTCGCAGCCTTTCTCGTCCCTGGGGTGCAGCAGCAATGCAGCAGCAGCAGCAATCAAGTGCAGCAGCAGCAGCAAGAAGAGCCTTCTCCTCATTGGCGCTGCGGCGGCACAGCAGCAGCAGCAGCAGCTGCATATCTATAACACCTTCTGCTGCTTCGTCCAGCAGCAGCAGCAGCTGCTGCATCAAGACAGAATCTGCTGCTATACAAACACCAGCCCGCAGCAGCAAACGAGAGAGATCATCTGCTGACAAACGAAACCTTCCCTCGTTGCTGCTGCTGCTGCTGCTGCTGC